GTAGTGACCCTACAGGACACAGCACAACTGCCTCATAGCTTTCCAAGGTAAATCTTTACAGAAGCAGACTGCCACATCTTTCTCCCACAGAATGGCTGGTGGGTTCGAACCACGAACCTTTCGGTCAGCAGCTGACCAAGTATTAATATTAAAAACCATACCTGTTGCCATCAACTCCAACTCATAGCATTCTGGCTTTCGTCATCTACTACGTATATGTTTGTTTTTTCCCGATATTTTCATCTCTACTTTAAACTGTATAGAGCAGGATTTTTATGTTTACCTAATACAACAGTTTACCTAATACAATCTGGAAGGCTTTATCTTTTAATAAGGGAAATGGTAGCACATTGCAATTGTTATAATGTATGCAAATCAAAAGTTCAGGTATTTTTAACATAAAAAAATCAGTTTGTCCTATATTTACAAAGTACAGCAAAATTGGGAGGTAGGTAAGGGGGAGGCAAAAAATCTTTTCTTAATTCTCCAGGAATATAGTTTAAACATAGTTAAATGCAATTTACGATATTCCTACCAATACTGACATGCTTCCAAGGTAACACCTGGACATTCTGCAGGGAGGTATTACAAGTTTCAGTTGTGACATTCTGGCTGGTAGTAATAATAAGTTTCTTATACATGGAAGTCAGTATGATTTGAAAGAAAGAACTAGTAGCAGAGTGGCAGATAATAAGAGATGCAAGTAGAAGAGACACAAAACACATAGGTGGGTGGGCTGAGAGGTTCAAAAATTAGGAGCCAGTCAAGAAGAAAAAAAAAAATCATCATCATTACAGACATTTACAGAAAAGCAGGGCTTCAAACTGGTTGTTCCCAGTTCAGTAATGGCCAAGGAAGCAAAACTGGAACAGACCTAAATTTTCAAAATTTAGGTGAACTGGAATGATAACTGGAACAGGAAAAATTACAGGTTGAAGGCTTGCTGGAAACTTAATCTCTCTCTTAGAAAACAAGGGCAGTGTATACATTGCATAGCAACCAACTGTCTTGCTCGTCAGAGTCTGAGGAGAGTTGGAAACAGTGGTGCCCTGCTCAAAGATGGCAGCCGACCACATGGCTTTCAACGTGTGTCACTTTTCAGAGTCCTGCCAATAATCCAATCTCATGCATCAGATGCCTGAAAGGGCTCACTACACCTCTTCTGAGTCTCCCATTCCAGTGCTTTGACCCATAATTTCTCCCGTTCCGGTTATTGTTTCAATCACCCAAATTTTAAAAACTTTGTGCCTGCTCCAGTTTCGTTTCACTGACCATGACTGAACTGGTCTGAAGTCCTGCAGAAAAGCCACTAGGTACAAGTTACTGTGCCTTGTGTATACAGATTTACTTCTATAAAAGTGAGCTGCACCTTTAAAATAAATATGTACTTTTAATAAATCTTTATTATTTTCCTCAAAAGCTATTATTAAATCAATGGTATACTTTATAATTAGCCATGTATAAGAATTGATGAAATATGAAAGATGAAATATAAGAGAACAGACTTATTAAAAGGTTCAAAATATTTATAAACAGACTCAAAATAAAACACCATTTCAAAGAGTGAGATGAAGAAGTAGGACAATAGAATGCCTAGCTTTGAACACGGGCAAGACTTAGCAGAAACATAAATGCAAACCAAATAAATCTGATTATGTAAATATCTGCTCTCTTCCCAATCTCTATTTAATTAACTCTCTAAAACATACTAATGCTACCAGCATACTGAGCATTTGTGGCTATCAGGCTATTCTATAGCATACATACACACTTTTGCTGCTAAATTATATGCTTCTAAGAGTTAGTTATGTTTCCTCCAAATCTATTTATTGCAGTTGTATTTACTTCCAATGATTACATGAATTAACCATTACATAAACAGATAAAATATAAGTGCAAACAGAAAAGATAGCTGCTGTTCCTATGAAAACTAAGTTGAATGCTTTAAAAACACTCAAAGGTAAGTTGCAAAAAAAAAGTTATGTTCGACTTTAGTGTGGATGAGGGGAAAAATTCATAAAAACCTAGAAATATTTAGCACTCAGATTCTTACGAAGTTTCTTTAAGTTCTTTGCTCCTCTGTAAGGAAATCAAAACTGAAAAGTTTTGATAAGGCATCAGTGGCATGTGCAAATGAATCAAGGAGGAACAGACACATACACAAAGGAAAAAACCTAAAAGGTTATATTAAAAGATTGATAAATAAATGTAAGCTTAATATTTTGGGCATTAAAAAAAAAAAGATTTTTAGCTTTAAAAGACTTCTGCAATTAACTGACAAATATCATCAGTTCACACTGGATAAGAAGCTTCTAA